TTTTTTTTTTTTTTTTTTTTTTGCCCTTTGCATATGCTACATTGAATCATAATCACCACCAAAAAGTCAAGCATATATAATAATTAAGCCAACTAATCACAACCACCACGCCCATCATCTCCCAAGCTCTTGAAGCTTCTCAAGAACCCGACCAATATCCGGCCGAACGAGACGTGAGGGTGAACAACACGCGATCGCTAGCTGAAAGTACTTCAAAACTTGGTCCTCAACAACAGCCCTCTCGTCCCCACTCAACCCAACAAGCATGTCCCAACGATACCAGTCCGTAATCCGGCGCTTGAGAATCACGCTTCTCAACTCAAAATCTCGAGCCTGGCCCGAATTCTCATCGGCCGCCAATTTTCCTATTAGCAGCTCGAGAAATATGACGCCCAGGGCATACATGTCGGTCTCCATGCAGACGTCCCTCATTTTGAGCAGCTCGGGGGCTGTGTAGCCTTGAGAGGCAGACGCCTCGAGCATCTGTTGGGCCGCGGTTGGGCTCAGGAGAAGATGCAGCCCAAAGTCTGAGACGTACGGGCGGTAGTGACGGTCGAGAAGCACATTGTTGGACTTGAGGTTGCCGTGGGGCAGGGGCTTGCCGAGAGACGAGTGGAGGTGTTGGATGGCCAAGGTGATGCCAATGGAAATCTTGTGTATGACGGGCCATTCGCGGGCCTTGCCATTGCCAACTGCCAGTTTAAATGCAGAATTTTTAATAAACCTTGAAAATGCAATAATATACAGAAAAAAAAAAATGAAAAATAAATTAGATCATGACAGAGAATCACACTTGAAGAACCATAAACAACGCATTAAACTGTCTTTTTCTTAAATCATTTGACAACAAACCTTGTGAATTTCAAATTTGAAAAGAGAAATGAAAAAAAAAATTGTCAAGCAACACTGGAAACATGATGAGTCACGAGAACTCTTCTTCGACAAATGGATTAGCACCATTACTCTTCGCCAGTGCTTGCCGAAACTTTGACGTCATCGTAGCAAAAGCTAAAAGTACATGGAAAAAAAAAATATGTATAACAATTGATTGCAGCAAGAAAAGAGTAAAACAAACAAAAGGTTTTAACAAAGCACAAACTGTTTTTACCTCTGATGAACTGTGACAGATTTCCACATTCATAAAAGGGATGAACCATAAGCTTCTCCCCTCTTGGCCCTGCATAAAAAGCATTCAGAGGCACCAAATTTGGATGCTTCATGCAGCCAAACATGTTCACAATTGGCAAAACCTCTTTTGTGCCCAATGCACAGCTTGGCCTCAAGAATCTCAACACAGCAAGTGAATTCGAATCGAGTAAACTAGCCCTGTACAGAGTCCCATAGCTGGATTTTCCTATAACTTCGCCCGGGGCATCAAGAATCTCATGCAAACTCAAGCCTGCACAGCCTTCAAACTTTATAAAATCTTTGGAATTTGCAGAACTATCTCTTTTCGTGTTCGACTCTAAATCGTTCCATTCTAACTCTTTCTGTTTTCTCTTCCTACAAGAAAAGATTGTGAATAAAAGAATTGTTAAGAATGATAGTGATGACAGTCCTATGGCGAATACGAGCTTATGATTTTTGTGCCTCATTGATTTTTTTTGCTTGTTCTTTATTGTTTTTAGCACTCAGTGAGGAAAAAAGATTAAATCTTTACAGGGTCTTCTTCAAAATGGCCTATTGGCATGTGAATATGAGCTTAAAATGTAGAAAAGTGAAGGAAATAGAGAGTTCGTGAACAGATTTCTTGATAGATTCTTTCTATGAATTATGGAACTAAATTTCCACTCCACCCCATAGCATAATTTTATACATTTATTCATCATTTATACTCAAATTGCGCCTCATCCAATTGATTTGTGTTACACATGTTTTGAATATTTTATGCCAATAAATAAATGTTGAATGAGTAATAAGAAAAAGGTATTATATTATAAATTAAGATATAAATAATTTAATTCAAAATTTTATTTGAGTATCGTAAATTAAAATGATGAAACTTTGTAAACTTTAGATAATATTAAATATACATTGTAATTGAATACTGAGTCATTATATACCTTGACAAAGTAATATAACTAAACAAATGAAATAATATTTAAATATAATTTATTTTAATTCGTGTATATTACAGACTCACACATCACACCTAACTTAATATACCATGACGAAGTAAAATAAATATATAAATAAAATAATATTAAATATACATTATTAATTTATGTGTATTGCATGCTCGGGCATGCATGAGTATGTGCCCCACTTATACTCATTTGATCCTGTTCTGCTGTTGTCACATGGACAAATGTTTAAGTTATTATAAATTATGCATATATAATATTAAAATTATAAGTTATAAAATAGTATCACATTTAAAATTCTTGTCATTAATAAAAATAAATATTATAAAAGTATTTAAGTTCATCACTATTTGATTACATAAAATGAAATGGATAAGCTAATTTTTATAAATTTGAAAAATCATGATGCGTTAATTATCTTAAAAAGTATTATTATTATTATCAAAAGTTTAATAGGTTTGGTTAACTATTAAAAACAATTAGCTTATTAAAAAAATATTTAAAAGCAATAAATAGTTTTAAAAAACTCAATATAAATTTTTGTACTTATTCAACTTTCATATATCATTAAGCGTGAATTATAATTGGTTAGTTTTAGTAATAGCTGTTATATAATAGAATAATTAAAAATAAGATTACACTTTAATTAACCATTATGTTAAAAAAATATATGATTATGTCTCAGTTATTGGTTTAAAAAAAGTTATTGGATCGTAATGAAAAAAGGGAAAAAATCTAAACAATTTTATTAAAATTTTGTTAGGTATTATACATATATATAAAGAGAGAGATATTAAATACTCATGGATTGGTGAGTTGTTTAAAGTCATAATTAAAAGAAAAAAAAAATAATAAAGTAAATATGCATTTGTAACATCTTTTTGATGAAAAATAAATGAGGTTTTATATATTAGTTGTTTTGCTAGCAATTATATATATAGATAAACCCTACATGTAAGGAATCCTCAAATGTAAAATTTTAATATGTTCTTATAAGAAATTAAATTATTATAAACAATAATATTTTTAGAGACAACTTTAGGTAAAGTTTTATTTGTAAGTTGTGTATGTCAAGTAAAACATCATAAGTAACATTTATATAATAGGTATGTGGTAAGTATGGAAACATTTTAATGATAAATTGTGTAAAAATAGGTAAAGTTGCATATATGTTGCAAGTAATTATGTGTAATAGGTGTTACATGTTATTTTAAGTGACAGATTAAGTGCACTGATAAATTGAGTAGCATTACTCTTTTTATATAAATTATTAATTAATTTATTATATAAATGTACATGTTCAAATTATTATGAACGACTAATCCTCTAGCTAGGGTTGAGGAATAATCGTTTCAGTTCGTTCTCATTTATGTGTATGTCAATTGCTCAATCTATACAAGTTTTATTAATCTTATGATTAAATGCTTGATCACCATTTTAATCTGTACAATCGATTTCAAAACTGAGAGGAGTGAAATTGGTAGAACTTGACTCGTTTAGAGTAGACATGTTCGGAGACGAATTGTCTATGTGTTAATTGTTTCGTTAATTTGCTCTTTTATGTTTATCCACATATTACGAGAGTTAGTGAGGTTAAACCACTAAATGAGTTAGTTAGTTGAGCCTTTTAACCGAGTTGTTGATTGCCGTTAAATAAGTGTAGAACCGGAAGCGATTATCCCCGATATCCTAGCCCGTTTATACCTCTTTGAATTGTATTTACAAGTCACGACAATTAAATTGCTTTAGTTAAGAATCATTAGTTAAAAATCAAGCCAACAACTTGAATTAGAATGTGTAGAATTATTTTTCGTTTTCGTGATTGAATACACGTATGACTTAGTCCGGCTAACCTTCCTTGAGAGACACGACTCGGTGTTCGAATCTTTCGATTCTACTCCGATAAAAATAACTACAACAACTAGTAAATTGAGTAGCATTACTCTTTTTATATAACTTATATTATTCTGATAAACACAATTAATTAAACTTAACATGTACAATTTCTAATCGTGACTTCATACCAACAACTTATTTCGAACTTAAAAACAATTTATTTCATGTAGCTAACTTTCTTACCAATTGATGACTTATGAAACTTACATTGGAAAATTAGTTCTAAGAGATATTTTTTTATATTTACTTTAAAATTAAAATCCAATAAATAAATAAATTCCCTTAAAAATAACGTACCACCAAACATCCATCTTAACTTAAACAATGTTTCAGTTTGATTCTGAACAATATAATCCGTAGAATATAAAATATATTTCAAATCTTCCTCAAGATAAAGTAATTAGAAAACCAAGACCACCACATGAATGAAGTCTTTTACTTCTTATGCGGAGGAAGGATAATAAGAGATTTTTCATTATGAAAATATAAAATCTGTTATAGGGTCATACTAAATGTATGATTGTGAAATTAAATACTTAATAAATGATAGGAGAATCGAATAAAAAATGAATTAGAAAGTCCAACGTAACTACTCATGGTTACAACAAGTCAATTAAAGTGAATGAATCAACATGCATGCTGTTCTTTTCCCCCATATAAAATATTGAGAGATATTAAGAGTGTCGCTAAAACAATCACTACGCTTAAACTACAAGCCTTAACCTTTATTAATTGTACTTATTCATTTATATTGGTATAGACCCGTGATAGTTATGTAAATCGACCTAGACAGTTAGCTTGGGTATGACCGGTTCAGGAGAGTTTCAACTCGAGTTCGGCGGATCATCTTGAGGTACGAGTCGACCTGAATGAAGGAATGGGGATGTCGAGCTCCTCATGGAGCTCGGGTAGATAAGGGGTAGGTGTGACCTTGATGTCGTACATGTGAAAGTCGTAGTTTCGACCTGGTAAGAGACTGGGCAGGAATATTGTTAGGATCAACAATTCAAAACCCAGTTCTCCATCAAGCCCAACATATAAGCCCAAATGAGGTTCCACTCTAAAACCAATTGGCAATAGAGGGAGTAGCCCACTAAGC